AATTCAAATTTTATTCATCTTTAAAGTTAATATAAATCTACATGTCCCCAACACATATATTTTAAAGAATTTTTAAAGTTCATACAAAGTTAGGCGTTTTCAACTTAAATAATTTTCATATTAGATAAGAATAAGAAAAAAATATCTCGAGTCTACATACTAAAGGAAGAAACTGGTGACGTGTGAAATTTTGCCAAACATAAACAATAACTTGGACAATCTCCTCTCTTATAGTAAAGGCAGATACTATTTTATTATTATATACTAATTAAATAAAATATATTCTATACGAAGAAAAGTAATCCCCTCTCCTCACACACGAAAACATGTATGTATGTAAATGTGTATGTACACATCTATATAATTTTCACCATCTATTAACATTTTTTTTTGGTCCAGTGCAATTTCATTTTCTTCTACAGTGAATGAAAAATGGAGTGAAATAGTGATTTGAAATTGTCGAAGTTGACTATGAATGATGATAGTTGATTCCTCACCAGCTTCGAAACGGCGAAAATTCATGACCTTCAACCTCATGAACCATGAATATGTAAACGTAGATATATTTTCATGCATCTACAGAAACGAGAACATACCTTATATGGAGCTAAAGGAAGACGAACCCAGCTAGATTTTCATCTACAAACAAAGGAAAACTACGTACCTTAAATAAATAGTAAGAAAATAAAAAAAGAAATACACAAAAAAGAAAAATTATAAGAAGAACATACCCAAAATAATTGTTGCAACTTCTAAAATTTTCTTCTCCACTATTGATGACAAGAAAATACGAATTAGGCTAAAGGCAAAAGCGAATAATGGTAGAAGGACGCCCTTTCTTTTTTTTTTTTCAGAGAAAACAAGATTTTGGGGAGAATTCGTTTTGCAAAACAATGGCTAGAATTTAGAAAGAGAAGGATTGAATTGATAGAAAAGTATTGTGCGAAATTTATGTGGTAAGAAAAAAAAATAAACAGTACACGACATTTTACTTCAAATGTGGGTCCCATTCATTAATGTTTGGACAACTATATTTTTTAATTCCCATATCACCCTTAACATTAATATAGGTATGGAAATTAGTGTGTAGTTAGAAAATGAAGGGTAATTGTGCCAAATTGTTTATTAAATATAGGGTATAATGTTACTTTTGATATCTCAATTATGTGGGGGGGAAAAGGACAATCATCTAATAACTGTGTTATATACCTCGTGAATGCATGTTTTCAGATTTGAACAAGTCAACAAAATAAACTACACTCCAATAAGTCAAAAAAAGCAACTACATTAATTATCCCTCACTCCAATAAGTCAAAAAAATCAACTACACTAATTATTCCTCACGAGAGGAGGTAGATGTGAGACAATACAAAAGCAAGAAGACGCAGACTACGCGGTCTCAAAAAGAAAACGTGGCTCATTTTGGGGACCGACCAACTGTAGCAAAACCAGATATGTAAATCGAGCAAGTGTGAAAACCACTGTGACATGAATGAATAGTAAAGGAAGCCTCTCTTTTAAGAGAGTAAAAATATTATGGAAAAGCTTAGATATTTAAACAATTATGGAGTCTAACAAATTGATTTGCATAATTAGTGAATTTGAGAACTTAATTGAACGAACTGCATTGGATCAAATTGGAACCAAACGGTTCAATTCACACTTAGAGATGACCCAATGATTTCATTTTCAATAGATATATTGACACTCAGTTTGGTTAGATTCTCTTCGAAACAGAATCGAATCAAATGCGTTCCGACATTTTTTATTATGAAATGGGACATCAAGCTTATAAGAACTCGATATGCACTTGAAAAAGAGGATTAAAATCAACATTTAATAGATAAATATGTTCTTATTATAATTTTAAAAATAGATAAAATTCTAAGGCAAAATAAAGAGTTAATAATTGTGTTGAATATAAAGTAATCTAAGCATATAATAAAATCTTATTCCACCAACTTAAGCTTTAAGTAGGGATGTCAAACAGGTCGAGTTTGACGAGCCCGAGCCCGAGCCGAGTGGGGGCTCAATTCCACGAGCCGAGCCCACAAGAATAATAATTTTTTTTAAAAAAATGTCCAAAATGTGCAAATTTACCAAAAATTAAAAATTAAAAATTAAAAAAATCACGAGGGGACATCAAGATTTTAAGATCAACATTTAAATGGATAAATGCGTTGTTATTATAATTTAAAAAATAGATAAAATTTTAAGGCAAAATAAAGTGTTAATAATTGTGTTGAATATAAAGTAATCTAAGTATATAATAAAATCTTATTCCACCAACTTAAGCTTTAAGACAAGCTAGATGAGCAAAACTCATCGTTTGACATTGTAATCGCTATCAATTATTTATCAATTTTATCTTCAAAAATGCTAAAGGTACATCACATTGTACCTAAAGATGCCATAATGGACACCCAACGCCTCGCCAATGTGATGTACCCCTAGTAGAGCTATTTTATTTTTGCCTTTTATAGGCAAACAATTATAGATGCACATCCCTATCGGATATTCTTATTGCTCGGCACATATATTTGAGTCAAATTTAAGTAATTTAAGACAAAACTAAGCTTATGAACATTTTCAATATATTGAATTCCTTCTTCTTATTGTAAAAGGGGTTGACTACCTTAGCTAGGGGTGTCAACAAGTCAAGCTGAGCCAACTCGAACTTTTTTTTTGCTCGAGCCGAATAGAGCAAAAGCTCAGCCAGAAAATTAACGCTCGACTCGAGCTTTTAGCTCGGTAAGAGCCAAGCCAAGTCAGCTCAGTTTTTTTTCCCCTCTAAGCTGCATCAACCGGCAGCATAGCAGTTTAGCTGCCAAACAGGTAGAAGATTTAGTTCTTTTCTTCCTTTTTTTTCTTTCTCTCTTTTTTTTATTTTACCAGCCTGGCTCGAGCCGAGTCCCCAAAACAGGGTTCGGTGCCTCCGAGCTTCGAGCCAACGAGTCCGATTGTCATTCCTAACCTTAGCGTCTTTGTTAACCATACATAAACAGTATTGAATATGACAAAGTGGTTGATTAATGTATAGAGAATTAAATATAAATGATTTTATCCTTAATATATCTCTTAAAAACAAATGACTCCTCTAAAAAATATCAATACTGAAATTTAATTACTTATTTGAACTTTTTAAATGTTCGAATTGTTCATCATGGTTAACAGTCTTAGAGCTAAGAAAAGATCCCGATTAAAGTTTCGTCACTACCAATTCATAAAAATTACGATCCACACAAGTGTTTAATGAAAAAATAAATTCAGTCTACAATGTGTTGAAACACAAATTAAATTAAATTGAATGCCTCCCTCTCTTAGCTCAATCAGATTTTCATCTTGAACATGTGAAAATCTAGGGACTACCATTATCTCTTAATCATTTATTGGTATGGGTTTGAAAAATCAAATTCTACTGGGAATAAATTAAGATGATGACTGAACAAACAAAGGAAAAAAGGAAGAACCAAATAAAGAAATCTGGTAACGACTTAAAACAGTGAGGTATGTTTGCTGAAAGCAACATTGAAAAAAATAATAATATAGATAATTAATAGTGTTGAAAATAAAATAATATAAATAAACATAGCAATAAATTTACAATAAAACCATAAATACAGAAAAAATTTATCAGAACTTGTACCAACGCTGATGTGGCAAAACATGATTGAACTGTTTTTTTTTTCTTTTTTTTCATCTTCCAATGATATCGCGTCATGTGTTGTCTGTAAGATTTTTCTGTCAAAAAATTTTGTACCTATAGCATACCCTACCAAGCTTAAGTTTAAAGATGGTTTAGACGAACGAAACTCATCTTTTTAACATTAATCAACTCAATTTTTTTCCCTTCATAGGCAAACAATAGATAGATATACATCGTTACAAGATACTTTTATCGCATGACACGTAAATTTAAACCTAGCTTAAGTAATTTAAGACAAATTTAACTTCTTGTATACAAGTTGAATTAGAACATTATCAATTCATTGAATTCCTCCACCTTAGTTTTCATTGAATATTTCAGTTGGTGAGTTCAAGAATGTAGGTAACAAATTATAAGGGTCCGTTTGATTGCAAGAATGAAATTTGGGTGAAAAGAAAACGAATTTCGGGGAATTG